GCTGCTCACCAACTAGGTCCCCAGCTTTCTCTCATCCTGCTGTGCTTTGCAGTGATTTCTAACACGAGGAGGAGAAGCTCCCCCTGCAATCTAGCCAGGAGACCCACTCTTGAGAAACAAAGTCTCAGGGCCCTAGACATCAATTTGTCTCCCAGTGTAGCAAATTCTTTAGGCTTTTCTCAGGCTGTATTCCTTGTTTTTAATCAGCTATCTAGTATGCCACTGGGTCTGTGGGAGGAATTCAACCCTGGCCCAATAGCTCATCCAAACTCACAGGTGTAGAAATTTCAGGTGATGGTGATGACATAGGCGATAACATCAACTAACATTTACGGAATGTTCACCCTGTGGTGATTGCTAACATGGTATCCTTTCCTCTTTGTTTTTGTTTTTTTAAATCCCTGTTCATCATGATACAATCAACAGAGTGAGGATTGTGGAGTTCAACGGAATTGGAGTCAGATTCCTGCTGTGCCAATAGGGAGATCAATGACCTTGAGGAGTCCTTCAGCCTCTTTGAACTTCATCATCATCTGTTAAATGGGGATACTTTTGTCCTCTCTGCTCTCCTCCTAAAGATAGTGTAAATTTTCAAAGAAATAACAGAGATAGGGACAGGAAAGCTCATCATACATTGGAACACACTCTCTACACAGGCTCCGGTCCAAGGTCACGCAGCTGGTTCACGGCTGGCCTAGAAGGAAGAAGACCCAGGTGTCTGCACTCCCAGGCCAAACAAAGTTGCTGTTTTTCCTCAATTCAGTGGAGCATGGAGACCACCAGCTGGCTGGGAGATGCCGCTCAACACAGGAAGTCCCAAGGCCTATCCTCTCATCAGACCACCTCCTCACCCTCACAAATCACTGCCAGTGCAGCTGCCTATAGATCGAAATTTCACCTCCTACACATGCCTGCACACTCCCATACACACTCTCTCACTCACACACACTCGCACAGCTTTACTCTCAGTGATTATCAGAACTCACAGAATTGGTCCAGGCATCTCTCAACATCTGGAAAATCCTGCAACCCTCACCCTATCACTATTCTTCAAGATGAGTTATTTCTGGAGGGAGGCAGGCATGAATGAAATGAAGAGCGCGCCCTTAAGATAGCAACGTATTTCTCTAGCAAATTGTAATTCATCTTTACAAATACTGCAAAACCCAGTAACTCTGACTCTTTTCAAATATGATTCTTCTTTGATTAGACTAGATGGCACTGTGGTATCACCTTTTTAATACCCAAGAAAATCCCATTTCATTTGAAACAGTTTTGCTTCGATTTGGGACAATCCAAGAGCTTTGAGGGGTCCTAGTTATGTTACAGAACATGTCTGAAGGAATCCACTGGGAGACAATGTCTATCAGATAGATAATTCCGACCACATTCACAGCATGCGTTCATCGACATCACAAACTGACCTATATGATCAAAAGGATTCGTAAAGTTTCATGTGCATTGCAAAACCCCAGACAGGGCTCTGGCTTCCATGGCAGCCCAAGACCTTGTTTTTACTTCTCGTCCATAGTCGTAGCTGTGTAGTTGTATTTTTGCTCTAAAGACCCTTTGTAATGTTCCCATCCCTCACTAGACCTACAAGCTCTGTCCGCATGAGAAATTATGTTCAATATTGTTAAATTATTTGGGAACTTCTTAAACACCAGAATCATGTTGTGACAGTGACTTACACAACTGTTGCAATAGATTGAGAAGGCCACCTTCGTGAGGCCAAGGTTCTCTTGAGATGGAAAAAAAATGGCTAGTGATGGAAAGGAAATTAAAGTCGCACAGATTCTACCACAATTCTGGCGCTTGAGAAAGGACACAGTAAACTGAGAAAAGGGACAGTGAAGGGGGAAATAGGGGGTGCCGTTCCCTCCAAATCTCAACAGTGACCAGAGGGCTTCATTTGGATCTTGTGTTCTAACAGCCACCTGCAAAGCATGGCATGTCCAGGGCATAGAGGAGGACAGGAAGGGTCCAGGCAAGCAGGCCATTCAGCAGTAGTCCCTGGAGTGACCTGAATGGGGAGGCAGGGAATGGGACTCTGTCCCTGCTGGCTCAGAGACCTCAGTCCAGAGATTCCCTCTCAGCTAAACTCACCTGGTCCGCCCACTAGGCTCCAGGCCCCTGCCTAGATCTGGTTTTGGGCAACTGGAGAAACAACAGCCCTGCCTGGAGCAACAGCATCCCAACACACCTCCTCCCTCCCTGACCCCTTTGCATTAGTCCGTGACCTCCAGCAGCGGGGCACTGCGGCTGGAGGAAGGAAAATGCCCTTGCTTCTGGCTACAGACTATTCATACATCAATTTTACCGCATCAGCCCCAGGCTCCCAGACACCGAACTGGCTGTGGCGCCCCATGCTGGCAATCAGGCTTTTTGTAAATCAGGCTCCTCATGCCCGAACCCCACACGGAGTCCAGGGTGATGTCCCCACCTGCCTCTCGGCCTGGGGGTGCCCCTCCCCCAAACACAGCCCCATAGATGCTTCCCGTGCAGCCAGTAGTGAGGAAAACAAGCTGGGCACCAGGAGCTCTCCCCAGGCATCCGCGAACGGTGGCAGAGCGACACCCACTCTCCCGTAGAGAGCAGACCCAGAGAAGGGGGCAAGGAGAAGAGAGGCATTAAAAGTCGAGTAGGAAGACAGAAACAGAAAGGGTAAGAGAGAAAAGGAATGGGGGTGGCGGGGGGGCGGAACAGCAAGAGGAAAACGGAAGGAAAGACCTAGCCATAGCACACAAGATCTGGAATGCAAGAGAGAAATAATTTTCTCACTCGGGGAAATAAGAGGGGAAAGGAAGAGAATAGGCGAGCGGGAAGGCGGCTTTGAAAACGGGATGCGGAGGAGAGGAAGAACCCACGGACGGTGCACGCACAGTGCCGTTTTGGGGGGTTCTCCAAGCGAGGAGTCAGAGTGCAGTGCCCTGTCCGGGCGGCGGCCAGGGGACGCTCGTTCCGGTATGCCTTGTCGCTTACCCTGCACGCACTTTCAACCGCCCAGAAGGCCAAACTGAACAGACAGATATGCCGCCCCAGCGGGAGCCGAATGCCTCCCTAAGACAGCCACAGTGCCACAAAGGTCCGCGCCAGGCCAGAGCGGAGCGCAACCCCCTGGGTTGCAAGTCGCGCTCTGGGTCCCCCGACAACCGCCAGCAGCGCCTTTCCGCCCTCAGTCCTCCCAGGCCCAGGTCCGCTCCGGCGCTTCAGGGCCCGCCTTGGCCGCCAGCGCGCACTCACCTGGACGGTCTCAGCCTGGCGTCGCGCTTGCCATCCACCACCGCGGGCACGCAGCTGGTGAGCTCAGTCCAGTCGGCGTGCAGCCCGCAGCTCCAGCCCGTGGAGAACCTGGAGAAGAGCCAGGTCTCCCGCTTACCCGGCCGGTGGCAAGTGCATTTCTTCTGCCCCACGCGGCACTCGCACGGCTGCTCGAGCTGGATGTTGCGCACCAGGTGGCGGCCGAAAGTGGTGCCCCCAGTCTTCTGGATGTGCAGGAACACGATCAAGTCATCGCCCTTGATGTCGAAGTCTACCTTGCGCAAGAGGTCGCCGCGGCTGAAATTGTAGCGGGGCACGAACCTGGCGGAGCTCTCATCCTCCGAGCGATACGGGTCCGGCACCGGGGAACTGAACGCCTGCAGGCGGAGGAGCTGGCATTCTGTGCCGGGGCACACGTATTGGAGGACGATCACCGCAAATAGGAAGAGCATCACCAAAGCCAGCAGCAGCTTGTTGGATTTCTCATCCATGTTCCCGACGCTGAGGGAAACCCAAGCTCGTTACGTCAATCCCGCAGCTCAGCCCGCGCTCGCCGTCCGCCCGCACCGCCCCCTCCCCCTGGCGCCGTAGTTGCGCCCCTTTCCCCCCTCCCCTCCGCACCGAGTACTCCACCGCGGCGGCCGCAGCGGCAGAGGCGCCCTTCCCTGCTTCCTTCCTTCCCGGCAGGCTCAGCGCTGTGGCTTCTGCCGCACAACCGCCCCCCCCCCCACCCCGACTCCTTCCCGCTGGCCGCCTGCCCCCTCCCCCCGCCGGAGCTCCCCGGAGCCCCTTCGCGGTCTCAGTCCGGCGTCGCGCGTGTTCCCCCTCGCCAGTCCCCATCGCCCCCACTATCCTAACTCATGCTCCCTGTCCGGAACCCCTTCACTTCTCGCTCCACTCTCAGTGGCTCCGTCCGTGGCTCCCATCCCCATCCCGCTTCGCCCACCGGACTCTCCCCCTGCTCTTCTGCCCGCCCCCCCCCCCCTCCAGCTCCCTTGGCGCGCACGCCGCTGCCTGCTGGGCTGGCGGGATCCCTCCCCAAGCGCGCTGAAGCCCAGCTCTTGCCCGCTCCCGCTTGCCCACCCGGGAGGCCGCCTCGAGTAAGCTCAGAGCCGGGCTTGTGGAGTTCCCCTGGGGGAAGGCAGCCGGACTTACTAGCGGAGACGCTGCGCTGCCCGCGCCCGCAGAACGGCGGGGAGGGAAGCCGCAGCGTGGCCAAATGCACGCCGCACTCCTCCGGAGCCCCCGAGCCAGGTCGCCAGTGGCCAGCTAGAACTTTGCGCCCTTCCCTCCCCTCGCGGCTGCCTTCCCGCTGCGCGGGGCCCCGCATGTTCTGGCTCGAGAGCGCAAGCCCCGTTTTCACCTACAACGTACCTGGCCAGGGGACCGAAAATCTTGGAGAAGATCGCACCGAGCACGTGCTTCAGCGAGTGGCCCAGGGCGGCCAGGCCCCGAGTGAGCAGGGCCCGGCAGAGGGAGCCCAGGTCCCAGCGTCGCCTGAGGTCGTGCATCCGCCTGCGGCGGCCTCGGGGCAGCAGCGCGAAAAGCGGGGCGCGCACAGCTCCCGCCAGGGAGGAAGACGCTTTCAGGGGCTCGTCCTGGAGCAGCCGGCAGTTGAATCCGTGAGACACACCCCTAGGAGGGCTCGCGCGGACTGAGGCGGCGACCGACCCGGGCCGGCTGGCTGCCAATTCGGCCTCTACTCTGGAATGCCGGCGGGGACAGGTGGTGCGGGCGGGCGCTCCTTGCTCCGGTTGCAGCGGCGGCCCGAGCGCCCGGGCTGCACACGCAGGCAGTGCCATTCCCCCCTTCAGGCAACTCAGGGTACTAAGGATCAGAGCGAGCTTGAATTTATATAATAATGCCTCACGCCCAAGAGCTCTCGAGCCACTTCACAAGCAGAGGACTTAGGTTTTCTCCTGTCTTGGAGAGCGGAGGTCACTCCAGTAAGCGCATCACTCCACTTTGCCTCGTAATTTCAACCGCCCCTAAAATAGCAAAGGCGCAAATTGGACCTTTTCCCTCTTTCGTTGCCAATTTCCATTCTCGAACGGAAGCGGGGGCATTTTCTGAAAAGGTAAGTCAGCATGAAAAAGAAAGCATGACCATAAAACATTACAGAATAGCAATCTGAGCTTTTTTTTTTTTTTTCCACAACACAGACTGGCTCTTACGCTCTCTTCTTGCTGGATTCCCTGCACCGAGCCCAGTGTCTGCAGGAAAGCTTCAGCCAGCAAGGTTTATAGAATGAATGGAGACATGCCTAAACACTTCATCACCGTGAGCCCATGTAATCCAAGGTGATGTGAGACCAGGAACCTGAGGCCCAGAGAGGGGTAAGGATATGCCCGGGGTCACACAGCAGAGCTCTAGGGTTGGAGCCTAGAACACTGGCCACTGACCACCCATTTCTGGATACTTAACACCAGCTCCTCTGATAAATAGGCACAGATTTTCCTCAAGTCCCAGTTACCGAAAGGCTCTTTTCTGCCACAGGACCAGGATGCAGGGATTAAGGAGGAAAGAATAGATGTCCCTTCCCGGCAGAGACGGGAAACTCAAGACTCAGCCTGTCCCTATCTGATTGATGAAGGGAGCTTGCTGTCAATCGCCCCACTCTGTCCCCACGACCACGTACTGCCTGCAGTCCCACTGCTGCAGAAGGGGCACAGGGTGGCAGCAGTGTTTCGGAGGGGACTGTGAGCTGAGTCCTGGGATGGGAGCCGGCTCTCCCAGGATCTCCCTCGCTGAGTTCTGCTCCATCCCTCCCGGCTTTCCTCTGCCTTGAAGTGGCCAGCCAAGCACGGATCCGATCCGGCAGTGCTGAGCAATTTATCACGTCCTTTCTGGGCAGCCCTGGCATAATCACTTGCCCCCGCCCCAGCCTCAGTTTCCTCATATGTAAAACAAGACTAATGAGAGCCTCCATTTCGACCAACTGGGTCACTGTGAGGATGAAATGTAGAAACCTTTGGGCAACCCCAAATCTGAGGCCATGTTCATGCGCTGCTGTAAACTGGGATATGCCAATTGAGCCACAGGCTGAGTAAGGAAGGGGTCCTTCTTAGGGAATTTCACAGCTGTGCCCCCTGCCCCTTACCTCCCTTCAGGGTCCCCAGCACAAGTGGGGCTTCCATGTGTCACCAGACCTCCAAGGGCCAGCAAGAGACACTTTGGCTGGCTGCAGGCAAAAATGGGGTAGTGGGATCCTTGGATACTCTGCATTTCAGGCACTCCAGCATCTCCTGTACTGATCAACGAACAGGCTTGTACTAAGGAACCGGATGCAGCAAATGACAAGGCAGAGCCCAAAAGCTCTTGTGCTCTCCCCCTCCCTTGCCCCATGCTTGTGGGACAGGATCTGCTCCCCCTAAAGGTCGGTGAGGGTATGAGCCAGGGGAGTGCAAAGCTCTGGAGGGGAGGTAGTCCAGGAGATGAGCTTGCCAGCTGCTCCTACCTTCCCCTTGGCCACCCGCACAGTCAAGCCCTCTAGCCTGCCCAGTGGGTGGCTCTCCACATAGCGCCAGATCAGGCATTACACCAGCTTTAGCAAGACACGCAGGGAGTCCCGAGGAAAATACTTCTGAATCCTGGGGGTCACATGTTCAAGCCCTCAGCAACTAACTCCAGTTCCTCTTTGTGTGTGTGTGTGTGTGTGTTGTGTTTTTTTTTTTTTTTTTTTTTGACAGGCAGAGTGGACAGTGAGAGAGAGAGACAGAGAGAAAGGTCTTCCTTTGCCATTGGTTCACTCCCCAATGGCTGCTGCAGCCGGCGCACCGCGCTGATCTGAAGCCAGGAGCCAGGTGCTTCTCCTGGTCTCCCATGCGGGTGCAGGGCCCAAGGACCTGGGCCCTCCTCCACTGCACTCCCTGGCCACAGCAGAGAGCTGGCCTGGAAGACGGGCAACCGGGACAGAATCTGGCGCCGACAGGGACTAGAACCCCGGGGTGCTGGCGCCACAGGCGGAGGATTAGCCTAGTGAGCCGCGGCACCAGCCTCCAGTTCCTCCTGTAAGAGAGATTACATAGAATTGGCACATGGGAAAGTGCTTTGGGCAGAGGACAGGGGCGCGTGATGAGAAGTACAGGGGAGAATAAGGATTTACTCACTCAAGTTGTGGAAAGGAACATGTACACAGGCGCATATGCACATGCACACATTCATGGTCCATTTGCAAAAAGGGGGCCAATCACGCTAGCTCTTGCAAAGCAAAAGAAAGTACAGGGTGAGCTGTGATGTCCAGTTTCTGTGATCTAACATGTCACTGCTACTCCAGGGTAAATATAGGCAATAGTTCAAGGCCTGGGAAAGCAGTAGAAGACGGCCCAAGTCCTTGGGCCCCTGCACCCACGTGGGAGACCTGGAAGAAACTCCTGACTCCTGGCTTCGGATCGGTGCAGCTCCAGCCATTGCGGCCATCTGGGGAGGGAACCAGCGGATGGAAGACCTCTACCTCTCTCTGTAACTCTTTCAAATAAATAAAATAAATCTTTTAAAAAATATAGGCGATAGCTCACTGGAGGATATTTGCTTTTACAAGTCCTTCCTCCACCTCACCTCTGTCATATTTGAGGAACAAAGAAATGAATGTCTCATGGTAGAAATGATATATTCAGGCTCCTCTCTGTGGGAGGAGCATGGAGATCACATAAAGCTCAAAAGATCCTTCCAAGGTATAAGAGACTCTCTGCTGAGAAGCAGGGAATTTTTCCCATATGTGTCCCAAGAGCCATGTGCGCCCCTGGCCAGGCCTGGGATTTCGCTAAGTGTTTAGGAGGCCTCCTGCAAGTTCTGGACTTGACTGTTACTCTTGGAAGCTGGCTCCTCTCAGATGCTGAATAACAAAGTCCCAGTGCTCCAGAATGTGGCCTTTTGGGGAGAGATCAGAGTTTGGGAGGAGAAAGAAGAAGAGAACTGACTGAATTGTCAGGCCTTTGGTTTTGCATCTCCTTATTTCTCAGATCAAGCTGCGTTGCTGCATGTATATATATTTGGGTTCAATGTTTAGAAGATGAGCAGTGCTTCCGGTTGTCTTCACAGCGTGGTATGATTTTCACTATTTTCTCAAAACCATCCTTTCATGTTTCCAACAAAAAGTTGATGATCCCGGGAGCGTAAAGGTCAGCCGCCGGGCTCACATACCAAGAAGTGCGTTTCCAGACCTTGGTTGCTGCAGTCTCAGATGACAGCGAGAGGCAATTGTAGGAGCCCCAGCCTGGGAATCCAGAGCCCTGGGCTCGTGCCTCAACTCGGACACTAAAAATGAGAGCCTGCGTGATTATAAGGAAGCACAGCTTCCCCGTTTGTGATCGGGCGAGGTTGATGTTGTAACCCAAAGAGCACGTTCCTGAACTCACAGTCCAAGTCGCATGTTGATTTGTCTTCTTTAAGGGTCAAAGAGCTGCCAAACACTGGGGCCTCACCTAGTCCTCTGTGCATTCTGTGGCATTTGCAGCACTGGATCCCACCAGGCAAGCAGCTGCTGGAATTGTTCTGGGCCTATAATCCCAGGGTGACAACAGGGTCCCCTGTACAAACTGGAACAGAAATAGTGGAAACGTAAAGTGTGGCAATCTATATAGAGCAGAGAACACAAACGTGCTTTCCCTTCATCCTGAGCATTCTCTTGCACCCTGTCCTTCCAACTGTCTCTAATTTTTTTGAAAATGTTCATACTCTCAATAATAGGCAATTGTTGTCACAAAGACTGAAGGCGTGCAAACTGTTGAGTCAATTCGTTTCTGTTTTTATGTGTCTCTTCAGACTGAATGAACAGCAGTACTTAAGAAAATGCTATTCTACAGTTCAAGATTTAATATTATAAACAGGTTGAGTGTGTTAGACACATCATTCTCGACAGTCATCCACAAGTATTTTCTTCGTAGAAAACACTGAGTTTTATTTGTCTAGCGTTACAAAACATGGGACTCAAGGAATTAAGAGGAGGATAATGCCAGGATGCTGTGTATGCTAAACAAGTGTGCATTGCATAGGTAAGCATTGGAATGTGGTTCATAGTACACCCTTCACTTGGCTCATGCAAACTGAGGAATGCCCCTCTCCTGATGAGATTATGAGCATTGCACTAACACGGACACTTGCACTTTTCACTGACAGTGAATGGAAAAGCCGGTTTATGCAAGGTTTTTCAAACTACAGTAAGCCAAGGCCTGCCAACCGTAGGCAACAGGCCAGACTGCTCATAAGACAGTCACCTCACTTCTTTTGATCTCAGCTTCCATGCTTTTAAAATAGCCTGATCACATACCTTCAAAATGTTGGTTTAGGGGGCTTACGCTGTTGCATAGTGGGTAAGGCCACCACATGCAGTGCCGGCATCCCATATGGGCACCAGTTCAGGTCCTGGTTGCTCCACTTCTGATCCAGCTCTCTGCTATGGCCTGGGAAAGCAGTAGAAGATGACCCAAGTCCTTGGGCCCCTGCACCCACGTGGGAGACCTGGAAGAAGCTCCTGGCTCCTGGCTTTGGATCGGCACAGCTCCAACCGTTACAGTCATTTGGGCAGTGAAGCAGCAGATGGAAGATTCTCTCTCTCTCTCTCTCTTTCTATGCTTCTGTCTCTCTGTAACTCTTTTTGAAAAAAAATAACTTTTTTTTTTTAAAAAAAAAGTTGGTTTAGGAGTATAGTAAAGAGGAATCTACATTAAGTGACCTTTTCTTTTTTTTAAACTTTTATTTAGCAAATATAAATTTCCAAAGTACAGTTTATGTATTACAATGGCTTTTTTCCCTCAAAACTTCCCTCCCACCCGCAACCCTCCATCCCCCGCTCCCTCTCCCATTCCATTCACATCAAGATTCATTTTCAATTATCTTTATATACAGAAGATCAATTTAGTATATATTAAGTAAGGATTTCATCAGTTTGCACCCTCACAGAACATAAAGTGTATAATACTGTTTCAGTACTAGTTATAGCATTAATTCACATTGAACAGCACATTAAGGACAGATCCCACATGAGAAGTAAGTACACAGTGACTCCTGTTGTTGACTTAACAATCTGACACTCTTGTTTATGGTGTCAGTAATCTCCCTAGGCTCTAGTCATGAGTTGCCAAGGCTATGGAAGCCTTTTGAGTTCGCTGACTTCGATCTTATTTAGACAACTTTTTTTTTTTTAAAGTAGGTTTAGGAGTATAGTAAAGAGGAATTTAACATCAAGTGACCTTTTCTAAAGAGGAGAAGGAAGAGACTTGGAGAGCACATTGCTATGGGACTTAATCAGGGCCCCATGAACTCTCTCAGAGCCTCAGTTTTCCCCTCCTTGCAAATGGGCCTATCAATAGCTACTTCACTGGGTTGTCACACTTGTTCACTAAAATAATCTACTGAGAGCATTTAGTCTAGTTCCTAGAAAAGCAGATCTTCAGTAAATGTAGATTTCTCTTTCTTTTGAATCTGAATATCATTTGATTTGAGATCTTTGTTATATTTTCCAGAGTAGTAAAATACACATATGAGGGGCCTTCAAAAAATTCAAGAAAATATGTGTTATGAAAAAACTATGCATGAATTTCAAAATTTTTGCACAAAAACAAACATCACTTAATTCCATCTACTTTCTTTATCTGCAATCTTTTCTCAGCCTACTTCCAAACCTCTCCAGTGTTCTCCTGGCTGGTGTCCCCTACAGATGGAAATCCTCTGAAGCACTCAGTCACTTTGAGGGATGGGACACATATAATCAACTGCAAGAGCCATCAGCAAGCAAATTGAAAAAGGCAATGCTTACCCCTACTGAATGGTCTCTCCAATGGGATACTGTGAAACCTAGAAAACAAGGCAGTGGAAGAGATGCATGGTGATCTGAGCTGGTGGGGTACATGTAAGCAAAGAGCAAAGCTTAGAGGGTCAGCCCTGCTCTAAACTCTTGACACTAATCTTCAGCTCCGTTCACTTCTAAAGTTAATGGTTGATCTGGCCAGAGGGGTTTTGGTTTGAGCAATGGGTCAAACAGCAGCAGTTGGAATGTAGGAAAACAAGGTCAGTTTCACATTCATACTGTATGAGCTGGAGCTGGGCAAGCCCATCTGTCAGCCAAACCCTGGGCTGGCATCCCCAGTGCATAGTGGTAGAGTAGAAAGAGCAAGGAGGGGGCAGGCACTGTGGCATAGCTGGTAAAGCTGCCACTTGCAGTGCCGGCATCCCATATGGGCACTGGTTCAAGTCTCAGCTGCTCCACTTCTGATCCAGCGCTTTGCTAGACCTGGGAAAACAGTAGAAGATGGCCCAAGTCCTTGGTCCCCTGCACCCATGTGGGAGACCCAGAAGAAACTCCTGGCTCCTGGCTTTGGATCAGAGCAGCTCCAGCCATTGCTGCCATCTGCGCAGTGAACCAGTGGATGGAAGACCTCCTCTCTCTAAGAGCGCTCTCTCTCTCTCTCTCTCTCTTTCTCTCTCTCTCTCCTCTCCTTTCAAATAAATAAATAATCTTAAAAAAAAAGAGCACAGAGCTGGATGCAAAGAAAATAGCATTGAATCCCAGGTCTGCCTCTGGCTCACTGTGTGACCCTGTGCGAGTCACTTGATGTCTCTGGGAGTCACTTGATGTCTCTGGGAGTTCATTTTTACTTGGTGAAATGAGGAGCTGCAACAGATGACCCTGAAGACCCCTCCCAGCAGGAGCTTCTCTGTGATCTAAGGTATGTTAGATAGGGAAGTTCAACACTCCCTGGCTGTTGTGTTGGCAAAAAGGCACTACCAAAGATGACCCTCCAGCTAGTAGCTGAGTCAGTAAAAGCAGAACAAGGACTTAAATCAAGGACTTAAATGAGAAGCAAAGTTTCTCAGATCGCATGGGTAAGATAGAAAGTTGAAAAGAAAACTCCCAGGCCTCTCCTGACTTGATGGCAGAGTGAAAATTAAAAAAAAAAAAAAATGGAAAAAAAGTCGTTCCAAGGACTGACCTCCAACTGATAGGAAAGCCCTAGTTAGGTTTTGATAATGGCAATAATAATAACAAGAATGACCTTGCCAGATCTACAGTCTCCTATTTGTTTTCAAACTCTGAAATCTCAGCAAGAGAGGAACATGCCCACTGTCCATCACCTGACTGGTCTCTGTGGGAGTTCTAGCTTTGAATAATAAAACACAAAAGTTGAAATTTAGATCTCAGGTCAACATAAAGGATTTGGAGGACACAGCCTCAATGTCAAAGTTGTTCCCAGGAAAAGGATTTCTTGGTCACTCAAATGGGCTTGAAAGAAATGCCTTAGAAGCATAATCCAGGAAAAAAAGAAATTAGTTTGGATTAACCATACATGTCACAGACTAAATGGAAATTAATTTTTTAATAAGAAAGAGTTAGACTAGAGGCCACTAAAGCCCTTAACTGGACTTTTATAGCAAAACCTGGGAAATTACTTGCTTTTTAATACATATTTTCAAGATCCACATTTCACTACATTGCATTAAAATGCAGAAAGCTACAGCATTAGAGCAGTGGAGGGAAATGAACTTCATAAAAGGCACTTTGAACATTTATCTTCTACACTGAAGAAAGCTACCTTAATGGCTATCATCTTGTGGAAGATTTAGCTTTAGCAAAAGATGGTATTCAAACCCCACTAAGATACAAATGCATTTGGAAGGGCTCAGTGCAGAGTTAGAAATGCAGGGGAGAGGGTGTTGTCCAGGGTGCCAGTTCCAATGATCTGCACAGTTAGCCAGGATGGCTGGCCTTAGTGATGTCTCCCAAAAGTTGACCTTAGGATGCTTACCAAATAATGCCCATAATAGCTCGCATACTGAACATCTGTGTATCAGATACTGTACCAAACACTTTACGTGCACTATTTCAATGTATATTTCCAGAAATCCAAAGAGAGCTATTTCTATTGTATTTATGAGTACTTTACAAATAAATAAACTGGGATTCAGAGTTATAGCCATATAGCTAGGAATTAATACAGAATTGAACCCAGAATTGTCTGTTTCCATAGCCTGCCAGAACTCTGATGCCCCTATGATCCTCATCCAGTACCAGGGTGTATGAGCACGAGCTGGAGAATATGATAATCATGTCCCCAAATGT